GAGAACTCAGAATGCCCCTACTTAAAGATAGTAGAATTTTATCAGCTGTAAAAGGGTTGAGGCTCCACAAAAAGTCTTACAGCTGATAAACACTACAACAAATTAGCATTTCACAAATTTAACACCAAAATCAGTGATGACAAACTGAATAAAAATCAATGAAAGAATCCCACTCACCTGCCCTAGGATATAGAATCAACCTTGATAGCCATCAGCAGATGAATGAATAAGAAAAATGTGGTATATACACACAATGGAATATTACTCAATAAAGAAAAATGAAATAGTAAAATTTGCAAGTAATTTAATAGAACTAGAAGAAGTTTTACTCAATGTGGCCAGCTAGGATTAGAAAAGCAAATGTGATATGCTGTCCTCATGTGTAGATATTAGACTTTTGTATGTTCAATTAGGATTACACGAGGAAACCTAGAAATTAGACATGGTCAGTTGTAGATGGACCCATTGAAAGGGAGATAGTAAAATATATGTAAAATTAAGTCAGAGAAGGAGAATACTGGATGTTGACAGTTTCAATCATGGAAGAATTGGAGGATAAAGGACAGAAGGATGAGTGCCGAATAAAAATTAAGGCCTATGAAAAAAGCCTTATAGGAACCAAGATCTTGCAAATTAAGTAAAATATAATTTAAGGGGAGGTAGAACACAGGTGACAAGAAATAACACTGGAGCAATAAGTACTCTGGGCTAAGGTTTAAGTGGCAATGAATGTAGAAGAATAAGTCAGAGCAGGGACTAAGGTGTAAGTGAACATAAACTAAGGCTGTATGAAGGTTTGTGGAAGCGACTAGATGGTCAAAATTTTAAAAGACATACTAAAAAGAGTTTGTTCAGAGGTACTTGGAATGTGTTGACTTATCTCATAAGACATGAGATTTACATTGAAACTCCAAAACAAGGGAAAGAATACCTCCTTTTGAGTTGTCTGTCAAGTAGGGCTCCATGTCATCCAAAATAACAATCTATTTCTACACATTCTGGTTGTTTGTCATAACTAAGTGGTAAGACTCTCTTGTTGAAGATACCACACAGTCTGGTTGCAGGGCATTTAGAACTCAATCTCTAGCAGACAAGGAATTTCTGCCTTCGTCATAATAAAAGTTGTAATTCCAGCCACTGGTCATGAAATACATCAAGAGTCTATCCTTTCCTATGACAACAGTGACCAGCCAGGCAAGCGTCTGCAATGGTAGTGTGGTAGTTATGTTAATAACCAACCTTGTTAGGAATGGATGGGAGACCTGCACCAAGCAATGGATTAAATGTCTGATGCTGTAAACCTTGTCAAATGCTTATGTCTGGAATAGTCATAAGCTAGTCCAGGAAAATCAACTAGTGCTATTATTATTTATGTTATATATCCATAGGTTTGTTCTGCTCTCATTGTTGGACATATGATTTTTTTTTCAGAGGGTAATGGTTAATGTTAATATTAACTAGATAACATGATAAGGATAAGCCAGTGTGAAGGTTCATCTGCAGATGGGTCATTTGCATTGACCTTCCACTACTGAAAGCTCAAGAAATAATGAGGAAGAATGGTCTGAAAACAATGTAAGAGTTTGAATCTGGAGAGAAGTACACTGAAATGTTCTTTTGGGGACATGGCATAACGGATGCACAGATCAACTCAGAACAGCTGTGTCTTACACTAAACTTGCACAAGCTCAAGCCAGTCAAGATGCCAGCATGAATGAGGAAACATCTCTCAAGTTACACCCAGAGTAGACACAGGCTCTTTTACTGCTTGCTGATCAGGATGAGAACTCTCAGCTCCTTATCCAGGACCATGTCTGCCTGCATGCTGCCATGTCCCACCATGATGATGGTGGACAAAACCTGTGAAACAGGAATCCATCCCAATGAAATGTTTCCCTAATAGGAGTAGCCATGATTTTGGTATCTCTTCCCAGCAATAGAAACCATAACTAATGCAAACAGTATTGATTTCTATTCTCCTATGTGTCTCCCTTTAATTTTGTTCTCCTGATTTATTGCTCCAGCTCCTAGATTGAGCACAACATTGAAAAGGATTCAAGATGATAGACAAACCTGTCTCTTATCACCTCAATGCACTCATATTTTCTTCCATTGAGGATGATGTTGGCTCTGAGTTTCTCCTTATAAAATTGTTATTGTGTTGAGGTATTGTCCTTCTTGTCTTACACTCTCTGGACTGTTATCATGATGGTGTATTGGATTTTGGCAAGGTCCTTATCTACATGTATTGAGAAGATTAAGTCACTTTGTCTAAGTCTGTTTCTGTGCTTTGTTAAATCTGTTGACTTATGTATTTCAAACCATCTCTGCATCTCTGAGATAAAAACAACTTGTTCATGGTGGATCATTGTACCTAGAGTTCCTGCCTGGTCCACAGTCAGGACAAATCTCTCTCATCTGCCAGTCCTATAGATGCTAAGACCCAACCAAGTAAACACAGATACTTATATTGCTTACAAACTGTATGGCCCTACGAGGCTTCTTCCTAACTATTCTTACAGCTTAAAGTAATCCATTTCTATAAATCTATACCTTGCCATGTGGCTCGTGGCTTACCGGCATCTTCACATGCTGTTTGTCATCATGGCGGCTGGCTGTGTCTCTGACTCAGCCTTCCACTTCCCAGCTTTATTCTCCTCCTTGTCCTGCCTATACTTCCTCCTGCCTGACTATTGGCCTATCAGTGTTTTATTTACCAACCAATCAGAGCAACACATTTGCCATACAGAACATCCCATAGCACTTCCTCTTTTCTTTTTTTTTTTTCAAAATGGAAGGTTTTAACTTTAACAAAGTAAAATTACATGTATTTTGGGAATTTGGGCGTAGCCTCTCTTACTACTTCCTGCTGGAGGGGGGTGCTGTATCTTATGGCGACACAAAGAAAATTTTAGCAGTATGGAATATTCCATGACAGTGTATCGTCTGAGGCAGTTGCCTTCAAACCATTCTGGATGTTGGATCATTTGGGCCATGGTGTCATCAGAGACCTTTCAGGGGGTCTTGTCTGGTCAAACCTGATGTATCTTAATCTGGAACAAATCCATAGCCTCTGGCTTTCTGTGGGAACAAAAGCAGAGCCTCCTTTCCAAAGCAACACATCCTTACATCCAAATTTTGAAGTCAAGGTATCTTTAAAATGTACATATTGATTTAACTCAACATCTTTTACAATCAAATGTTTTTCTGCAGTTAAGAATCCCAAAGACAACACAATCCAGATTCTCTGTGTAATATTCATCTTTGCATGGCTTATTTTTTATATTAATTTTATTGTCTCTTTAAAGACTTTATTTTTTAAAACTATGTATTTGTTTCTATAACTGTATATATCACCTTTTTTGTCTCTTTCAAGCCTAAGTATATTTTACACACATTGTAAACTATTACATCTGAATCTGTCTTATTGTGAATCTATTGCTTTAAACTGCAGCATTTGTAAGACTGAAACAGCACTATGGCTGCTGGCTCTGCCCACCTCAGTTTCCCAACATGGTAGTGGTACATTTACCGCCAGCTTTGGGAGTTATCGTGGTTCTATGCTTTTATCCAAGCAGTGTGTAGCCCAGAAGCCTCTGTTTGTGTTTTGTACTAGCAAAGTCTAAATCCACCATGCAGTTTAGTGTGCTACTTTGAGAGGCCTTCTTCCTGACATACTGCAGGTTGAGCGCACACGCCAGGAACCCACAAGTAGTTCAAACCGGCAGCTGCCACTCATTTGAGAGACACAATTAGGAAGCTGTTTTTAGCTCTGTTTTAGAATCTTTTCTCAGGTTTTAGGTGGAAACTCTTGCCAACTCGTTGGGCGCCATTTGTAGCTAGAGTTTTCCTGCCTGGCCCACAGTCAGGACAAATCTCTCTCACCTGCCAGTCCCAAAGACACTCAGACCCAACTAAGTAAACACAGAGACTTATATTGCTTACAAACTGTATGACAAGACCAGGCTTCTTGCTAACTGTTCTTACAGCTTAAATTAATCCATTTCTATAAATCTATACCTTGCCACATGGCTCATGGCTTACCGGCATCTTCACATGCTGTTTGTCATTGTGGTGCCTGGCAGTGTCTCTGACTCAGCCTTCCACTTCCCAGCTTTATTCTCCTCCTTTTCCCACCTATATTCCTCCTGCCTGACTACTGGCCAATCAGTGTTTTATTTTTCAACCAATCAGAGCAACACATTTGCCATACAGAATATCCCACAGCAGATCATCTTTTTGGTGTGTGTCTATTTTAGCTTTGAAAGTTATTTTATTGAGTATTTTTGAATCTCTGTTCAAAGGCTCTTGTAAAGTCTGTTGATTGCTCTCCTGATCTGTAATATCCAGGGCTTAATATCACAGCATATAGTAAATATTCACTACATGTGAATTACAACTTTTTGGTTTTATTTTAAATTTATTTATTTATTTCACATCCCAACCACAGCTTTCCACCCCTCCTCTACTTCCTCTGTCTCTCCCTACACTGCCCCCCATGCACTACACAATTTCTATTCATAAAAAGACAGGCTTCCCATGAATATCAACAAACATGGCATAACAAGTTCCAGTAAGACTAAGCACAAATGCTTCCTTTAATGCTGTGGGATGTTCTGTATGGCAAATATGTTGCTGATTGGTCAATAAATAAAACACTGATTGGCCATTGGCTAGGCAGGAAGTATAGGCTGGACAAGAAGGAGAATAAAGCTGGGAAGTAGAAGGCTGAGTCAGAGAGACACTGCCAGCCACCATAATGAGAAACAGCATGTGAAGATGCCGGTAAGCCACGAGCCATGTGGCAAGGTATAAATTTATAGAAATGGATTAATTTAAGCTGTAAGAACAGTTAGCAAGAAGCCTGCCACGGCCATACAGTTTGTAGCCAATATAAGTCTCTGTGCTTACTTGGTCAGGTCTCAGTGGCTGTGGGACTGGCAGGTGAGAGAGATTTGCCCTGACTGTGGCCAGGCAGGAAAACTCAACCTACACTTTAAGGATGGGCAAGGGACCCAAGTATGAAGAATAGATCCCTAAAGTTAGCAAAACAATTAGAGAATACTTCTGCTTTCACTCTCTAAACTGACAACATATTCAGTCACAAATCAAGTTTTGTCAGATACAAATAAATTGAAACACACTCCCTGCATCCTTTCAAGCCACATGGATTAAAGTTGAATTTCAACAACAAAAGAAACAAAAGAAAGTCTAAAAATTCATGGAAACAGAACAACTCTCTAGTGAATTACCACTGGGTGAAGGCAGAGATAACAAAGAAATTAAAGACTTCCTCAAATTCAATAAAAGTGAATGCACAACATATTCACATGTATGGAACACATTGCAAGGGTTGTTAAAAAGGAAAGTTCATAGCACCAACTGCCTTCATAATGAATTTTGAGAGATCTCATTTTAGAGACTTAAGAGAACACCTGAAAGCTCTGGAACAAGCACACCAAGAGGAGTAGACTGCAGGAAATAACTGAACTGAGGGCACAAACCAATAAAATAGGAAGAACTTATCTAATGAATTCAATTTAGAGGATAGCACTTTCACACCATCCATTACAGAAACAGACTCAAGGACAAATAGCACATGATTATGTCATTAGATACAGAAAGGGTCTTTGACAATATTCATCATCACTTTATGATAAATATCTCAGACAGTCTAAGAATAAAAGGGACATATTTCTGCATAATAAAGCCAATAAAAAGCAAACACACAACTAACATATTGTTAACACTCAAATCATTCCCTCTAAAATCAGGAACCTGACAAGGATGACCATGCTTCCTCCTTCTGTTCAATATAGTACTAGAAGTCTTAACTAGAAGAGTAAGACAAGAGAAGATACAAGAAAGGAAAAAGAAGTGAAAATATTTTCATTTGTAATAATATGATTCTATAAAAAATATATTTTGCCCAGAAAACTCCAATGGCTGATAAATATATTTAGCAAAGTAACATATTTTAATCTGAGCCTCCAATTCAGTAGCCTACCTAAAAATACTGCACATACTGAGAATAAAATCAAGAAAACCATGCTATTCCAAATAACCTCAAAGTGTAATGAATTAGGATAAATGTCACCAAAAAGTGAAACTTTTACAATGAAAGCAGTAAGAAAGTGAAAATAAGAAACTGAAGATGTTATGATAACTTGCAAAGACCTTCTGTGATCATTATTGTAGGGTTAATATTGTGAAACTGGTCATCCTAATAAAAGCGAACTATGGACACCACATGATCCACATAAAATTTCCAGTTCAATGTTCATAGAAAATGAAAAAGAAATTTTAAATCCCAAATGGAAACACAAAAGACCAAGAATAGCTGAAACAATTTTGAACCATGAAACAAAAACAAAGCAAACTAAAAAGAACAAAAACAAAAACTTATGGAAGCATCACCATTCTAGATTTCAAGTTACTATAACCAATTGAAATAATAAATAGAGTATGGCAGTGGCCCCCAAACAAACATTGATTGGTGGTAGAAAACTAATGACCCACATATAAGCCCACAGTCCTGCAGTCTCTTAATTTTTGTAAAAGAGGCCAGCGATTCACATTGTAGAAAACAAATGGTGCCAGTCACATTGGCCAGATTGGACTACAGGTGAATGAATGAAGTTAGAGCCTTATCTCTCACCCTGCATAAAACTCAGCTTCCAGTGATCCAGGTATCTCAACACAAGGCCCAAATGGTACAGATTAATTATTAATTCTTTGGTACAGCTAAATACTTTCTGAGCAGGTCACTGGTACAGACACTATAAACAAGTAATTACCAAAGTAATAAATGGGACCCCATGAAACTAAAAATCTTCTATGCAGCAAAGGACACCATAAAGTGATTGACAAGGCAGCATGGAAGAATGGTTAAAAGTCTTTACACATTGTACACATGAGAGAGGGTATGTAGAAAATAAAGAATGCATTGTTACATCAAAAACTGATCCATGATATTCACATTGAGTCTTGTCTTTACCCTGGTGTGTAAACACATTAAAAATAGAGCAATGACAATTATCAGAAATTTACTTACTATACATCAAAGGAAATATTTAGCAATGTCATGGGATTCTAAGAATACTTTGTAATTAAGAATAGATTAAATGCTTTTATTTTATTACTCAATTATTAATTTTTTGACTGAATAACGTGGTTTAAAATGTAGCCTGTGGGTCTATGGCAAAGTCATTGAAGCAAACAATAGGAAATGAGAAATTTAAATTTAAATTTTATGTACAAATTCTTGATTTTCTGCACTCTTATCAAAACTTCTCTCATTTTCCACTTTAAATTGTGTTATTTCTTTTTCTAGTTCTTCTGAAAATATTATATCTTTTACATAAAAATATGAACAACAATTAGGCAAAATAATACTCTATAAAAATAGAAATAATGTAGTTAGGTTTTTATTTTTTATATGTTATTTCAATTAACCAGATGGTAGAGGTGTATATTTACATCCTCAAGAAAACTTGTAATTGTAGACAAATCAACACTTGGACAGGTACTACATATTGACCAGTTTTGAGTCATACATGCTTCATATGATTTGTCAGGAAACTCATAAATGACCTATATGCTTACATCCACATATGAAGGAACTGTGGAAAATAACACTTTCATCCTGTAGACTATCCTTGCCTTGCAAGAGTAACTTAAGTAACTCACTGTTCACTTCCCCCAAATGGTACTTGGTTTACCACACACATTTCTGTGAACAGGATAACATGCTTTTGCTCTGCACTGAAACTGCTCCTTTTTTTTTTTTTCGAGACAGGATTTCTCTGTGTAGCTTTGGAGCCTTTCCTGGAACTCACTCTGTAGACCAGGCTGGTGTCAAACTCACAGAGATCTGCCTGCCTCTGCCTCCCAAGTGCTGGGATTAAAGGCACCACCGCCTGACAAATTGCTCTTTTATGACTCACTTTATCACATAGAGTCATTCTGTACTGTACATCCTTTTTTCCCAAGAAAAATGGGTATTGCTGTGGCTACTCTAGCTTAAGATAATGCTTAAACTCTTCTTTTTGACTTCAACTTGAATCCATTTTGTTACAGTTGTATCTGTTTTTCTCCTTGACATGTAGGAAATATAGGAAAGGTTATTGTAAGATCCGAAGATCTCATTTGCTTTTGTTTCCTGTTTTCTTTTAATTATTTTGTGTGATTCTGATAGGTTTTGACTTTTAAGTTTTGAAAGTAAGTAAGCCATTTCAGACATGGTTTCTTTACTGATATAAACACAGAGAGATGAGTTTCAGACAATAGAGTACAGAGAAATGAAAAGGTGTAAAAGCAAACAAGATGTGCATATAAGTAATGAGATTTTCAGTGACTGAACTGCCATATGTGAGTGTACCCAAATTTATTGAAATAGAATATAGATATGGTTTGAAAATGCCATTCCTATTCCTTGTAAATCAATTACAATGCTCTGCAGATGGAGGAAGGCAGTGCACTATGAGTTATAAACAACACAAAAATTGATTTTCTTTTCTGAAGAGGTGGTATATTGCTGTTTGTCCAGTGCAGAACAGAATCTCTGAGCTCAACATGTCTCTGCCCTGACCTTTCATGGAGCTTTATTATAGGTGTGCGTTTTGAGACCTAGGTGTCCAGAAATGAAGTTCAAACTTTGAGGAAGTCACATTAGTCTCATGATTGACTTATAGAAGTCACTAATAAACAGGGAATTTGCACACTGGAAAGGTTAAGGTGAGTGAACCTGAGTATTAAACATTGAAGCTGTGCTTACATTTACTAATAATTCATATTGTCCTTGTGAATGTTTTTGAAGCATGTCTGCCACTAATGAGATGGCATTGCTTATGTCAAACCCTATCATCACCATCATCAAATTATAATGGGCATCAGGAAGTCTGTGTGCATTTGAAAGGTAATAAAATAAACTGATCAGAAGAATGTGACATACAAAATTTACCTGGTTGAGATTGGTGTGGTAGAGACTCAGGTTTGGAGATTGGACGTGAATAATCCCTCAGCTGAATGGATTTTCAAATGAGATACTTAATTAATGTTTTGGAATTCAATAAATATTAATTATTTAATATAAATATTAAAAGTCATTTACCTCTGGGTGAGGACATTTTTCAGCCCACACTAAAAGAAAAAGGATAAATTTATTAATCTCCTACACAATGGGAACTACAAAAGTAACTTCATATAGGCTTTGGATGGCAGTGAGTTCTTATTCCCTTCCTCCTAAAGAAATACCTATTAATTTACTGGTTAGGACAACAGCTGACAGAAATGACTGAAACATTCTAAAAGCAATCTATAGATTCAATGTCATCCTCATCAAAACTACAACATAATTAGTCAGAGAAATTGAAAAAAAATAACCACACCAGCATGAAAAAGCCTTTCAGCTTCACATAGAAATAAAAACAAATGAACAAAGAAAAAACCCTGGAGAGAGGTAAAACAAACCCCAATACAAAAAGAGCTGGAGAAAACACCACCCCAAATTTCATGATTTTTACAGGTCTAGAGTAACAAAAACATCATGGTTTTAGCATCACAGTACACGTGTTAATCAATGAAATCAAACTGAACACCAAACATAAGTCCACACACTTACGGACACTTTATTTTTGATAAAGAAACTAGAAATACATGCTGGAAAAAAACAGATTCAATACATGGTGCTCACCAAACTTTATGGTTTCAAGAAGAATGCACAGAGAACTATATTTCTAACCCTGAATAAAACTCAACTCCAAGTGGATCAAGGATCTCCAAATGAGACCAGAGACCCTGAATAAGACAGAAGACAAAGTGTGTAATAGGCTTGAACTGACTGGTACAGGAAAAAAACTATCTGAATAGGACACCTGTGGCACAGGCACTAAGACCTACATTTAATAAATGGGACCACATGAAGCTAAAAGCTTCTTTATGGCAAGACATGTATACCAGTTATGAGATTTTAAATAATCACTCCACCATATGATGGTGTTATTGAAATAAATTATAGATATGAATTCTAAATACATTTCCTGTTTCTTGTTACTAAATTACAGTGCAGTACAGATGAAGGTAAGATATACATTATAAGTTCTAGAACAAAACAAAACTTGATTTTCTTTCCTGAAGATGTGGTATACTGCTGGCTGTCCAGTGCAGAACAGAATCTCTGAGTTCACATATGTTTTTGCTTTGCCCTTTCTGGTAACTTTGAGTATGACAGGTGTTCATTCTGAGACCCAGGTATCAAGAAATCATAGTCAGACATTGAATAAATCTCATTAGTCTCACGATTGACTTCTATAAGTAACTAATAAACAGAGAGTTTGCACACTGGAAAGGATAAGGCCTTAGATCCTGAGTATTAAACATTAAAGCTGAGCTTATTTTGCAAATATTTTATATTTCCAATGTAATATATTTTCCAGCATGTGTGCCACTATCAGATGGCATTGCATATGTCAAATTCTATCATCACCATCATCAAGATATAATTGGCATCAGGAAGACTGTGTGCTTTTGAAATTTATTAAAACACCTTGATCAGGAGAATGTGACTTACAAAATTTACCTGCTTGAGATTGCTGTGTTTCAGACTTGGGTTTGGAAATTCGATGAGAATAATTCCTCTGCTGAATGGATTTGAAATGATATGTTTAATCAATATTTGGACTTTAATCAAAATGTAATTATTCCATATTAATATGAAAAAGCATTTAACTCTGGGTGTGGACATTTTTCAGCCCAAACTGAAAGAGAAAAATGTAGAGTCAGTCTCATGCACAATGAGATCACCAAAACTATCTTTATGTAGGCTTCAGATGGCAGTGAGATTTCATTCTCTTCTTTCATAATAAACTCCTATTATTTTACTGCTTAGGACAAAAACTGACACAAATATACCGAAACTTAGCAAAGCAACTTAAAGATTCAGTGCAAGAGCCATCAAAAATCTAATATAATTTGTCAGAAAAATTGAAAAAAAGAAAAACCAACTACAACAGCATCTAAACACCATTCAGGTTCATATGGAAATCCAAAAAATAAAAATAAAAAAATAAAAAAACAAACAAAAGAATGGAGAAACTCCACCAGCTCAGACTGGACCAAGAGGTGAGTCCCTGTTCTCCTAAGCACAGTTACAGGCCAGCAGGCAACACTCCTGCAGGCAGGTCTGATTCCCACCACCCCATCAGATGCTTTAATCACAAGTCCTACTCTGTCCATCTAAGTCTACCCACACTACCAAGATTGCAGCTGCTCCCTGAGACACAGACTCTGCTAGCTCCAATTGCACCAAGAGGTGAGTCACTGCTCTTCCAGCCAGTCACCCAGCCTCTAGGCCTTAGGCCTAGGGGTACAACCCATGTCCCTATTTCCCCACCCATTGCAGCCCCAATTTCAGGCCAGTTGGAAAGTCTCCTGCAGGCAGATCTCACAACCTCCACTCCAAATAAGACTCTGTTATCTACAAGTCACACTTGCTCTCCCAAATCCACCCATCCCCCAAGACCATAGCTGTTCCCTGAGACACAGACTTGGCTGGCCCCCACTGAACCAAGAGGTGACTTACTGTACTCCCAGCCGGTCACCCTGCTTCAGAGGCACAACCCAAGCCCCCTTACCCCCACCCATTGCAGCCCCAGTTGTAGGCTGGCAGGCAAGACTCCTGTGGTGAGGTAACCCAGGCTCAGAAAGACAAACAAGATATGTAATCACTCATCAGTGGATACCAGATATAAAGAAAAAAATAATCAGACTACAACCCACAGCTCCAAAGAAGCTAGGAAATAAGAAGCCTAAGAGCGACACATGGATTGCCATGGAAAGGAGAAACAGAGGAGATCTCCATGAGTAAAGTGGGGATGGGGGGCAATAAAGGGGATGGGATGGAGGATGAGAACATGAGGGGATGATGGGATGGCTTAGCTGGGGGAGGGACAGAGTGGGAGAGCAATGAAAGAGATATCTTGATAGAGGGAGACATTGTGGGGTAAGGGAGAAACCTGGTCCTAGGGAAATTTCCAGGAATCCACAAGGATGACCCCAGATTAGAAGACTGACAATAGTGGACAGGGTGCCTGAACTGGCCTACCCTGGTATTCAGATTGGTGAATTCCCTAACTGTCATCATAGAGCCTTCATCCAGTAATTGATGGAAACAGATGCAGAGATCCACAACCAAGCACCAGGCTGAGCTCTGGGAGTCCAGTAGAAGAGAGGGAAGAGGATTCTATGAGCAAGGGGGACAGGGTCAAGATTATGTAGGGAAATCTATAGATTCAATTTAATTCCCATCAAAATTTAGAGAAATTTAAAAAACAAACACAATAGTATCAAAAAGCCTTTCAGGTTCATATGGAAATACAAAAACCTCTTGGATAGATTTAAGAAGATTCTCAATACTAAAGAGACAACTAAACCATGATTGTAGGAACTCAGGAACTTTAGACCAACAGCTGTGGAACCAGCATGGGACTGGACTAGGCCCTCTGCATATGGGAGACAGTTGTGTAGCTTGGTCTGTAATGGTAATGGGATCAGGATCTATACCTGGTGCATGTGCTGGCAATATGGAGCCCATTACCTATAGTGGGATGCCTTGCTCAGCCTTGCTGCAGTGTGGAGGTGCTTGATCCTGCCTCAACTGAATGTACCAGGATTTGCTGACTCCCCATGGGAGACCTAACACTTTTGGAGGAGGGGCTGGGCATATACTAGAGGGGAGTTGGAACTGGGATGAGAGGGGGATCTGTGGTTGGTACGTAAAATAAAATTTTAAATAAAAAAGAACAAAATAATGAAAGACAACACTGAATAGAGATAAAAGGATACTTAATATGAAAAGAGGATGGAGAAACCACTATCTTAGAGTTCATGTTTTGTTACAGAGGTAGACTAATAAAAACAGCATGGTTCTAGTATCACAATAGACATGTTGATCAATGAAATCAAACTGAACACCAAATGGAGGTCCACACACCAATGGACACATGATTTTTCATATAGAAACCAGAAAAATACACTGGGTAAAAAACATCTTCTGCACATGATAGTGAACTAATCTTGATTGCTGCATGGAGAAAACTGCACAGAGATCTGTATTTACTACCCTAAAAAAACCTTAATTCCAAATAAATGAAGGATCTCTAAATAAGACCAGAGACACTGAATATAACAGAAGAGAAAGTGTGTAATAGGCTTGAACTCATTGGTACAGGAAAAGACTTTTTGAATAGGACACCTGTAGCACAGTCACTAAGACCCACACTTAATAAATGGGACCACATGAAGCTGAAAGTTTCCTATGGCAAGATATCTATGTAAGCTTTGGGATTGTCAATGACTGCTCCACTATATGATAATGTATGCTGTGTTACTGAAATAGATTGTAGATAAGAATTCTAAATGCATTTTCCATTCCTTGTAATTAAATTACAATGCACTCTGAGTGAAGTGAAGCAGTGTACTATGAGTTCTAGAGCAACACAAAAATTGATTTTCTTTTCTGAAGATATTGTACATTGCTGTTTGTCCAGTCCAGATCAGAATCTCTGAGCTCAAATAAGTTTCTGCCTTGTCCTTACAGGTAGTTATGTGTGTAGGTGTGCATTCTGAGATCCATCAAGAAATTATGGTCACACACTGGGGCAGTCTCATTAGTCTCATGATTGACTTCTACAAGTCACTAATAAACAGAGATAGCACACTGGAAATGATAAGGCAGTCCAACATGAGTATTAAACATTGAAGCTGAGCTGACATTTCTAAATGTTTTATGTTTTCAATGTAATAATTTTGAAGCATGTATGCCACTAGTGAGTTGGCATTGCTTATGACAAAACCTTCCAACATTATAGTCAAGATATAATTGGCATCAGGAAGACTGTGTGTATTTGAAATGTATTAGAATAAATTGATCAGGAGAAAGTGACTTACAAAATTTACCTGTTTGAGACTGCTGTGTTTCAGGCTTGGATCTGGAGACTAGATGACAATCATCCCTCAGCTATTTTGAAAAGAGACATTTAATCAATATTTTGGATTTCAACAATATATAATTATTCAATATAAATATTAAAAGGCATTTACCTCTGGTTGCAGACATTTTTCAGCCCAAACTGAAAGAAAAAGAAAGTATAGTCAATCTTATGCACAATGAGAAATCCAAACCTACCTTTATAAAGGCTTCAGAGGGCAATGAATTCTCTTCCCTTCTATGAAAATAAACATCTATTATTTTACTGGTTAGGAAAGCAGCTGACAAATATACTGAAATATATCAAAAGAAATCTATAGATTCAATTTAATTCCCATCAAAATTTAGAGAAATTTAAAAAACAAACACAATAGTATCAAAAAGCCTTTCAGGTTCATATGGAAATACAAAAACCTCTTGGATAGATTTAAGAAGATTCTCAATACTAAAATACGCTGGAGAAATCACTATCCCAGATTGCATGTTTTGTTACAGAACTAGAGTAATAAAAACATCATGATTCTATCATCAAAATAGACATGTTGATCAACAAAATCAAATTAATGTCAACACACCTATGAATGCATGATTTTTCATAAAGAAACTAGAAATACACACTGGATAAAAAAAATAGCCTCCATTCATGGAGATTACCAAACTTCATGGATACATGAAGAAGAATACACATAGGAGTATTTATTACCCTGAACAAAACTCAACTCCAAATGGATCATGAATCTCAAAATAAGACTAGATACCCTGAATATGACAGAAGAAAAAGTTTTTAACAGGCTTGAACTCACTGGGACAGGAAAGACTTCTGAACAGAATACCTGTAACACAGCACTAAGACCCAAATTTAGTAAATGGGACCACATGAAACTGAAAGCTTCTTTATGGCAAAGGACACCATCATCAGGCTACATAATAGGAAAAGAACTTAATCATTCAAACCTCTAACATACAGTTAGTATCTAAAATACATAAAGAAGAAAAATTGGACTCCCAGGAAACAACTAACCCAATGATAATGGTGTTTGGGAATACAAAGACAATTTTTAAAAGATAAAACACAAACTGCTGACAAACTTTTAAAGAAATGCTCATCATCTTTCTTTATCAGGAGAATGCAAACCAAAAGTACTTTGAGATTTCATTTTACTCCTGTCCAAAGGCAAAGTTCAATTGAGCAAACGACAACTCATGCTTGTGAGGATATGACGAAAATGGAACACTTGCTCATTACTGATGAGAATGTAAACTTTTACAGCCATTAAGGAAATGACTCTGGCATTTTCTCAGGAAGCTGGCTACTAATCCTTCTCTAAACCCACCTATACATCTATCTGGCATATACCCAAAGGACTCTATATCCTACTACACTAAATACCTGCTCATACATGCTCATTATTGACTATTTGCAATAGTCAGATTTAGGAAACAGTTTAGATGTCCTTTAACTGCCAAATATATAAAGAAAATGTGGTGAACTTACATGATGGGGTGTTTTGCTTCTATCAAAACAAAGGAAATTAGGAAATTTACATAAAAATGTATGAAGTTAGAAAAAAATCACCACAAATGAGGAGACCCAGATCCAAAAGTCAAATACTGTACAATTTCCCTTATATGTGAGTGTTAGCATTTAAGTCTTAAACATGTGTGCTTAAATCCATATAACCACAGATATTCCTCATCAAGTAAGGGACTGCTTGCAAGGATCATTCAAGTAAAGGGAAATAGAATATATAATTTTAGAGAGACAGTTGGGGGGAAGGGCGATGCAAGTGAGAGGTTAGGGTAGGAATATGGGGATGGACAATTTACTAAAGTCCACATGAAAAACCATTTGGAAACATACTACTGTAGAAGATTTCTATATACATATGCATATAAAATAAATCCAAATGGAGTCTCCAAATAAAAGAGGAGATAAAGCCCCAATTAGACATCTTCTGCTAAACATGAAACCTTCAGTTGTACCTAGTTGAGTCAATGGATAAAGGGGCACCTTAGGTATCTCAGGTAGAAGAGAACTCAGAGATCCTTCTGGGACTATCTCAAATTTACACATCGCTCATGCTTGTTAACATATGGGGCTTATTACCACTTTTGTTGTCTTTTATTTAAGTGTAAATATATTCAGTGATTTCTTTTGGTAGCACAACATACCAGCATATGTCTTACATAAAATCTCTTCATGATGACTCTTACCTTGAATTATTTCATTTTCTTCTGGACCATTTCCTATGTTGGATGACTGGGCAGCTTTCTGCAATGGATTAGGGTAAAACACACTCTGTCACAAGATATTAGTAGTGCAATTTCAAAAGGTCTTATTTTCTATTTCTGAACATATCATGATATTGGACTTTAAGAAAATTTTTCATGAGAATATATGCAGTATATATCAAAAACCATGGTATTTGAATTAAGAGTCTTATATACACAGTCAAGTTTAAGTCTTTCATTTCCCAATTACATACAAAAAATATAGAATAGAGGAAAAACATCCATAGACAGAGTAATGCCTGATGTGTATGTATCAATAAAAATAATTATTTTATATTACAATGCATAAAACTAATTTGTTCTTCTTAGTAAAGTTGGAGGATGTTAATAACACAAATGTTCACATCTTTAGTAAGGCCATTCCTCTAGGACATGATTAATATTAATCATGAGTTGTTATACAATGACATTATTTGTGTGGTTAGGCATGATAGGAGATATGTATTATGTTAAAAGCATTCATATTGTATCATGCTGATTGTGTAGTGAAGAAGGCAGAATATGCTTAATTTTGGTAAACTTGAACAAACAAATCTGACATATTTTGTTAATTTCTTATAGATGGTAAATCTGGATCAAAATGATAAGCAGACAAGTTATTTCCTATGTTACCTTTAGACAATAACATTAGACCATTATGCAGTTTTAATATTTTGCAAATGTTTCTCAATGAACAGAAATCTTCCCCAAATACCATTTCACATTTTTTGCATGTTTAATAGAATAAACAAATCTTGCTTTCTCGTCATTCAAGAATTTTAAAAGTTATGAGAATATGTTGTCCACTATTCTATATGTACAGTAATGCCATCCTATTTGACAGTTACTGAGTGGACACTCCCTCATCTTCTAAAATATGTTAGGCTTCATACTTTGATCTCTGATGACAAAATACCATTCTCACTCCTACCCTGTATTAACGACAATCTTACCTAAATATCTCTCTGTACCATGTGTTTTCTTTATGACAAAATACACCTATCTGAACTAAAACAATTGCTTTTTACTTGTTTTGTGTTCTATTACTATAGCATATTAGGCTTCCCTCTGAAATTCTCAGTTCTTGATTTCTCAACATAGAGTAGATATTGACTATACAGATTTATGTAGGTTTAAAATATTAAAAATGTCTTCAGAACATACTCCTACTTCAGTAAGTACCTAACATTGTGTAAAAGGCAAACTACAGTCTCTTGAATCTATTTGAATTCTCTATATTAACTCAAATTCCAATATATATATATTAATTAAGCATATTGGAAAATAATGTGGAAATAATTAATTTTCTTCATTGAATTGAGCAAAATAGTTGAGCTTTTCCTTCACAATTAAGCCTCTTTTATGGAATCAAAAATTCTTTCTTTTGGCAGATTAGTTGATTACATGTCCATATTATCTTCTCAAATGAGGACCTTGAAATAACCCAATGACCATAAGGAAAAAATTTCTCCTTGACATAACTGAGAATAATCATCACATAACAAATTTAGTTTCTGCAGGAAGAATCAACTTTATGAAATAAATCCAACTCTGAAGTCACAATTTTATATGATCCACTATTTTAAATAGAGAGCCATAAGACTCTCCAGCTACGTAAAGAGCTTAACATAAAGCACGAGAAATAATCACATAATTATTTACTAAATTACTTATAAAAGACAATGATTAGCTTTGTGACTGGATTCTAAGAATACCCTGTGTTTTATAATAGGTAAAATGCTTTCATTTCAATGTTAAATCATCATTGATGGACTGAATATAGTAGCGTGAAGTGTAGTTTCTTTTGGCCTATGGTAAGATCATCAAACCAAACAGTATTAAGTGAGAAATTTAAATTTAAATAGTTACATACCAACTTTTGATAGTCTTCATTCTTATTATAAGCATTTTCATTTTCCACTTTTAAATCCGGTATTGTTTCTAATTCTAGTTCTTCTGACATATCCACATATTTTATTTAAAAAATAAATATAACAATTAGATACACAATTTTCTATGAAAATAGATTGAAATACACTCACAATTAGAATTTAGAAAAAAATTACTCTTATCAAATATTTCAATTAAATGTACTTTATAGATATATATTTACATGCTTAGATAAATGCCCAAGTTGTAGAAATACCTGTATATCACTTGTACAGAAACTGCATGTTGCCAGCTTCAAGACATCCAAATACTTGACTGATTCATCTTGTAGTTAACATACCTCTCATAAATGACCAAGCTCTCTAAAATCTACATTTTCAGACATCATCGATTTTTCAGAACATTTATCATGTGCTCACACCCACAAGCACATTCAAAAATGTACAAATTAAGGAAACTGGACAAGGATTATGAAATAATTTTTTGTATTGAAACTGGCAAAATATTTTTAGTTGTAAGGCCCTATTGCTCAAGACTCCACACTTTAGACACAGAATTTGGAGTAATTTAGCTGGACCTGACATAGAAACCTGCTCTCATACTATGAGAACATGCTATGCAAGGTGCCTAGGGAGATAAGCAATCAGTAATCCCACCACCAAGATGTTTAAAAGCCTGGCAAGATAACGCTCACGGTAGGATAGAGACACTTTTATTTTTGGGGTAACCAACAGCTGTCCTATTGGTCCGGAGACCCACTCAATGAGACATTCATTCCTGGTACTGGGAAACTAATCAACTATCCATGGATGGAGAAATCATAAACACTAGGAGTCATCAATTACTCCCGTTTTCTTATAACAGTATACTTATTGTGTTCTAAATATGGTTTTTATAGTCATGGTTATATCCACAGAGGAATGTAGCTGTCATTTTTCCTCAAAGAATTTACTTTACAGAGTACATAAAAGTATTACAGTATATACAATTAATCAGACTCCAAGGAGTGACCATAATATGCCCCAACTCCACTTATAAAGTCCTAAATCTAAGGATCAGGAAAAATAGTAAGAATAAGGTAGATAGAGTGTAACATCAAAGTACCAGCACTCTTGAAGCTACACAGCATCTTCAATGCATGACTTAAATATTGCTACCATGAAATTTCAAAAGTATGATATCTGAAAAGACACCTGTATAAGGACAACACCCGATGAAATGCTACTGTGGGTGAAGTGAATCTCACAATGCACAACCCCTAGATGAAGATCTGCAGGCAATCAGTGGCTGATAAACAAAGACAAATCAGGTGATTTTCCAGAGATGAGCTCATCCTAGTAGGATAATAGGTTGTGCAATTCCAGTGATCAGTCCTGAACACATGTACATACAAGCAACACACTAAACAAATACACACAAGCATGCATGCACTTATACACACACACACACAGAGACACAAACACACATGCACACATATATGCACATGCGTGCGTGCACACACACAGACAAACATAGTGTGTCTTTACTAATAGTATAGAAGTCACACACAGAGTTAATAAGGACTTGAGCACAGGAAAGGTTGTAAGATGGTATCTCAGAGTTATTTTGATTTGCATTTCCCTGATGGCTAAGGATGTTGGGCAATTTCTTAAATGTCCTTTGGCCATTTGAGATTCTTCTGTTGAGAATTCTCTGTTTAGCCCTGTAGCCCATTTAATTGGATTGTTTGGAATTTTGATGTCTAGTTTATTGAATTCTTTTATATACTTTGGGGATCAGCCCTCTGTCAGATGTCAGGTGGTTTTGGTAAAGATCTTTTCCCATTCTGTAGGCTGTCGTTTTGTCTTATTGACTGTGTCCTTTGCCCTACAAAAGCTTCTCAGTTTCAGGAAGTCCCATTTATTAATTGTTTCTCTCAGTGTCTGTGCTACTGGTGTTATATTTAGGAAGTGGTCTCCTGTGCCAATGCATTCTAGGCTACTTCCTACTTTCTCTTCTCAAGTTCAGTGTAAATGGATTTATGTTGAGGTCTTGGATCCACTTGGACTTGAGTTCAGTGCATGGCAACAGATAGTGATCTATATGCAGTCTTCTGCATGTTGACATCCAGGTAACATGTAGTTGACATCCAGTTAACAGTTTTTAAAAGTTAGTATCATGAGTAAAAGATTTTTTAAAAGGTACTTTAAAAACTAATGCTAATTTCTGTGCCCTTCAATACATGGGTTGGATATGTAAGCTCTTGATAAGATACCTTAAGTAACATAATGAATAGGTTAGTCTACATATTTAGAGAAGCCTGAAAATTATGTAAGTCATGGTATAAGAAATAAAAATAAAACTACTAATGTTTATTTGTCCAAATATTCCCAAATTTCAAATTTACTCCACTGTGGTAAAACTATACAAACTGATTTTTCTGTGATTACTTATTTCTTATCTCATTTTTGGCTTTCAGAACCTTAAAGTAATTATTATGTTTTGATACTTTTCAACATCAATATAGTAATATTGTCATAATTTAATAAAAATTTTCTAGCCAATTTTTCATCTAAAGTAATGACATTTTGACAACTGCTATATTATACCATTTCAAACTCCACAAAGAAGAAATTTAGCACAAGAATTTACCTCAAGAAGTCATTGATTACCTGAGTTTTCAAATTAGCTGTGTCTTCCATTCTTGCACACATGGAAATCAGTGACTCAGATTCAAAGTGATGTCTTTGAAGCAAAATCACAACAACAAATAAGTGAGTAGTAGACAAAAGCTTTTGTCCTGAATGTTTAGTTATTTGAATAGCAAATGGTGTTTCTGTTGTTATTAGACATCTGTTTTATAAAATTTGTTCAGCTGTTAATTTTTGTCTCTACTTCTCCTAATCTCTGCATTTGTCAAGAAAGATTTACACATAGCTCCACATCAAATAGTGTCAGTCAATATATTTGTGGAACCTGAAAATCATTTGATTTGAAAACTGTCCTGATGATTGCACGCAAATTACAATGAATTGCTCACATACTCTTTAAGCATTAATTTAAATAAAGGTAATAGTCCCAAATAAAGCAAAACAATAGTGTCCTCATTCTACTCTATTAATAAAGCACAAAACTATATAACTACTAAATGGCATCCTTCATTCTTGAGCATGGGAAATACCCATTGAAAGGAAACCATCACATCCATTCATTGTAAAACAACTAATAAAGTCATGAAAAAGATGTGAAATTTTTGAACATTAAAGTTATAAGTGAACAAACAAATGTGCACATCGAGGCTTGAAATCCTCTTATCATGGGTGTTCAAACATTAAAATGTAATAATTCAGTTATTACATTGGTGGAGGCTGATTCAAAAACTACCAAGCACTTAAAAACCTTCATATGTGCTCAGTTGATGGCAGAGACTTCTGGAAAAGCAGATCTCTGGGACTTTTGCCTCTGTTTCCCTCTATGTTCTCTAGATGTCTTCCTTATATAAGATACCACTCCTGGTTCCCTCTTTTGCAGTCATCAGTGATGCTCTCTGGCCTTTAAATATTCATCCCAGGAAGGGGCAGATTCCTGAGAGTACAGGCTCAAAGAACCTGAAAGACAGCTAGTTCCCTGGTTCAGGCAAATAAGCTAAATGGAGGGACAGCAACACACATCCCAAGCCTAGATATGTTTCAATTCTATGATTATGTTCTGCAATTCCAATCTGGAAAGGACAGGAATTTGGCAAAGGTAACAGGAAAAGAAGCAGTGGCAGTGGATCACAGATATTTTTCATTTCAGCCCTTTGTTCTGAACATTGTCTAGCCCACCCTCTGTGATACCACATTCCCGTTTTCTGTAAAGACTTCAGGTTGCTCAAGTAAGTTTCAACAGAATAATCTATTTGTCATTTCTATCAATTAAGCACAAAAGGTAATATAGTTTCCAAATTACGTTCAACCCTATCCATTCCCAGATGATATTCACCATCCTGTGTCTATGTAAATAACTTTACTGTCTTTAAAAAACTAATCACAAGGCCAAACTCTTACTCCTATTGGCCTCCATGATTTTCCTTTCGAAATTGCCCTTCCTCTGTTAAAGTCATTCAAATCATCCACCATTAGGCTACTTTTAATGCCATTCTTGGAACACTTGACTCATTTCCATATTTTCCTACAGAAATTCTCAGTCAAATACTGGTCAATAAGGCCTGGTCTTTTAGTGAAGGAATGCATGGGAATCTAAATTGGGCCATTTGTATTTCCACCTCCATAGAATACTGTGTTTTAGTTTTGGCTTCTCCCTCAGAGCAACTGTTTATGTATAATGTTGGATCTAGTTTTCTGTGCACAGGATATTTTTATTAGTTTTCAAAATTCCTTAAAAACTACAAGTTTTTCAGATCTGAGATTTTCTAATAAAACAAGAAGCAGTACCTGGCAGTCAAAAATTCTAAACTATAGGTCAAGGAACATGAGGAAAAAAATGTACAGTAAAAACTTTCAAAATGCTTAGTGTCATGGAGAAACAAAGACTTGATAAAATGAGAAAAAACCCTCCTGTACCCAGGCAGTCCAGTAGTTTGAAGAGAAAACAAAACTGAGTATAAGTTCATAACATCTCTTAAATAGATGCTCAGTTGTATCAACATAACATGGTATATGAGCACATGGACTACCATTCCAATAATGTAATTCCAAGCCTTCTGTCATCTTGCTCATTTCAAACCTATGGCACTACAGACACAATAAAGAGAGGTTCCCCCTCCAATCTTGATAGCAATGTAGTGTCTAAGAACAACTTTCAAAAAGAAAAACTATGGAGTTACAGATAGGTTTCTCAGGAAAACTCTAATCCAGAGTTGACACATAAGGAAATCTGGCTTTCTACATGAGATCATCTCAGTGTAGTCACAGGAACAAGAGAATGCACAGGCTGACAGTTCAGTCAAGAGCTGGCAACTTGTTACCTATGTGATCATAGAATTAATCAAACTCTCTGAATGACCTTTGCTAAAGTAGTAAGACACTTAGTCACAAGGATATAAAAGCTTTAAAACATATGATTATATTAATGCATCATGGACACTAAATAAATCAGATGGAATCAGTGAAGAACACAATATTCAATAGACATTAGTTCTTTTCCCTGGTTCTAATTATAAGTTAACATTCATATTCAAAGACCTTAAAATCTTACCATGATGAAAAGACATCTTCAGGCTGATTTCCTATAATTGAATGAAAAGTAGACATATTTCAGTTGATTATATTAGTCTATAAATTATCGTAGGGTAATCTTCTAGAGTAAAAAATCTTCTAGGGTAAATAATAACTATGGTACTGGAATATAACAAATGCATCAGGAAATCTTCACCTCCTTTGGATTTATTGAATAAAAGACTGAAAGAAATTATCAGCATTTGATACTTCAAAGTAGGTGACCATCTATACTGACAACAATTCCAACTAATGGCAAATAGTGCCGTTGGCAGAATCAGTGCCTATCATAAATAAATAGCAAAGAGAGTAGTTTTCTGGAAGAATGGTATCAGGATCAATTTGAAGACAGCATAAATATTTTGGTATAACACAACAAATATTCCCCAGATAAACTGCTGCAATCCTTCAGGTAGGGATGAAACAACCTATCAGAGATAAGTACAATGAGGCAATGATCATTGTACTTATCAATCTCCCCTAAAATTATGGAATCCTATCTGGACAAGGTTTCTCATAAAGCCTTGCAAGGTATCAGAAAAGAGAGGTAAGGTGAAATCAATGCTGCCCACCCTCCCGATCTCCTCTGTGGTTAGGTTCTAATGAACTCTTTTAGATCTGGCTATAGTTTTCATTCTTACCTATGATGCAATAAGGTAGAAACTCAATTGCTATTGTCACCTAGTTACCTAGGGTGGTATTTTATTTGTGCTGAAATGTGATTTTATTTGTATGTTAATAAAGATGCCTGGAGATCAGAAGTAAAACCGAGCCATTAAGCAGAAGTCAGGTGGTGGTGGCACATACCCTTAATCCAATCCCATGGCAGGCAGAGTCTCTGTGTGGTCAAGGACACAGCCAAGGAGTGGTGATCTGAACCTTTAATCCCAGTACCAACCATAGAGACCTGGAGGTCGTGTAGACAGGCAGTGACAGGGAAGTCATGTGGTTGTGTTTAGAGCCAATGAGAAGGCAGACTAGAAAGGCAATAAAAAGGCAAGTCACACAGGAAGAAGGTCTCTCTCTCTATAGAAGAGACAGCAGCCAGGGATTAAGATAAGGCTCTCTTGGCTCTTCACTAGTGCTCTGATCTCTTGGACTTTTAACTCTGTATTTGGCTCTGTGTTGCTTATTTACTAAGACCATTTAGAATTTTGTCTACAGTTCTCCTTTCATATAAAATAAGAAAGACAACACATGGTGAGATCCTATTGACATTACCCTTGAGAAAGTATCTTCCCATGGAAAATGAAGACTAGAAATGTGCCCAAGTGGCAGAGCACCTGTCTTGCAAAAATAGGGTAAAAGATAAAATGGGATTGTGGATGGATAGTCAAGTATTCTCTGGTATATGAGTGGCTTCATATTTACTGATAAACACTATAGATATTAACCACTCACAATAAAAACAGAATTTAAATCTGTAATTAGTAGACTAGTTTCTTCTTTTTTTTTCCAAAGAAGAGGTTCATTATTTGCTTCATCTATAGTATTCACATTCTAAAGGTTACTGCATATGGGAAAAAATCATGGGAAAGACTTGATTGCAGTTTGGAAAAGTATGACCTCTGGAGATAGCCTTTTGGCAGTCAAGAGTCAGTTTGGCAACACAAAGCAGGAAGACAAAAATAAACAAAAATAAAAATAAAAATAGGGTCATTGGAGTAGCAAATACATAGAGCACCTCCTTCTTAAAGTATGAAATCTTGAGTTCAACACCTAACAGATAAGAATATTAATTTCTAATTATACATTTAGGAACCAGACCGTTGCCATACAGTAGAGCCAGAAGTAATCACCATGTATATAAACATTTCAGTAACACTATATGCTGTATTTGTTTAAATGGAAGAATTTCAATACAAAATTACCATTATTTTAGGTTTTGTTCCACCTTTATTGAATAAGTCTCTTTTTTTCTGTCACCCCCCCAAAAACTACCATCAGTAAACTCACACCTGCTCCAGATCCAAGCTGACAACCCTCTTTGTTTGTGAATCACCACTGTTGGGCAATTCTCTTTTTCCATTTCCCATCCTATGGAAGAAGCGGGAGCATGGGGAGAGTGCTGGAGGGAAGAAAGGGAAGTGGGAAAGTGATCTAATTGTACTTTAGTTAAAATCTATAGAAAAGAATACATTCCTTTAATAACCTACACAGGAAAGGAAATCATAAAAGGATTGAATATTGTGTCTTGTTTAGCCATACAAATCATGTTTTCTATCATATGTATAACAAAGTAATTGTGTTCACTTACTGCAATGCATTCATTTTTACTGTGAGAAAATAATGTGTTTTTTTTTATAATGTGTGTGGGTAGCTAAGAAGACAACTTAGAAGTTAACAGCATGCTTTGCTCTTCAAGGGGACCTGTGCTCTGTTCTCAGATCCTATGTGGTATTTTACAATCACCTGTAACTCCAGTTCCAAAGAATACAACACCATCTTCTCTCTCCCAGAAGCACCAGGCAAGAACATGGTGCACATGCCTGGTGTACATGCAGGCAAACACTCACATATGAAATAAAATAAACAAATAAAATGAATTAAATACAGTGTAGTGGAACTAATAATGAAATAGACACTATGTCAATATTTTTAGAAAAAAAATATATGAAGTAAACTAAAATGTGCTGTGGGCTGGGGAGAGGCTGGCATCTTACCACAGTATGGTAATTTAAAAAATATTTTTACATGCAAGTATGTAATTCCAGTGCAAAACTGAGAAACTTTTAACAAAGCAGTTTCATACAACTAATTTCTGAAACAATTCATGTTTCTGGTAGAGCCAGAACAATGAGCTTGATCAGAACAAATGAACGGTGCTTCCTACACAAACGGCCATATGTAGTTCAACTCTGCTTAGCAAACTGAGGAGAACAGTAGCTTCTCTTCCTTCCAATATACTGCACTTGCTGAAAACAGACGCGAGTGCTATTTGCACTGTGTATGGCAATGGGAGCGCAATAGTGATTTCCTTACCAGAAAAAATTTCTTGCTCATAATACCAGAAACGGAATGTGATTCAACTCCATTTATGATGGTGAATCCAACACTAGCTTACCTTACAAGAAACACACTCTGCTTTTGAGAAAGGAGCACTCTTCTACTCTATTGTGTTTCCTTTAGAGCCAGAATACTGAGCTTGCTCAGAACAAAAGAACTGTGCTTCCTACACACACGAGTCATATCTAGTTCAACTCTACTTAGGAAACTGACAAGAATAGTAACTTCTCTTCTGTCTAATACACTGAACTTGCTGGAACAGATGCGAGTGCTATTTGCACTGGATATGGCAAAGGGAGCACAATAGTGACTCGCCTTACCAGAAAACAACTCTTGCTGATTGGACCAGAAACAGCATGTGATTAAACTCTGTTTATGAGGGGAAACCATCACTAGCTCAACTTAAAATAAACACACTATGCTTTTGAGAAAGGAGCACTCTTCTACTCTACAGTGTTTCTTGTACAGCAAGAACAGAGAGCTTGCTCAGAACAAAAGAACTGTGATTCCTACAAACACGGGCCATATTGGGTTCAAGTCTGTTTAGGAAACTGACAAGAACAGTAATTACTCTTCCATCCGATAAACTGTACTGGCAGGGAAGAGACCCGAGTGCTCTTTGCACTGTGTGTGTCAAAGGGAGACCAAAAGTGACTTTCCTTATCAGAAAACAACTCTTACTCGTAGGACCAGAAACGGCATGTAATTCAAATCCGTTTATGAAGGGGAAACCAAAACTAGCTCGCCTTACAAGAAACACACTCTGCTTTTGAGAAAGGAGCACTCTTCCAATATACTGTGTTTGGTATACATCCAGAACAGGGAGCTTGCTCAGAAAAAAATAGCTGTGCTTCCTACACACACAGGACATATCCAGTTCAACTCTGCTTAGGAAACTGACAATAACAGTAGCTTCTCTTCCATCCAAAACACTGTATTTGCTGGGAAAAGACGAGAGTGCTATTTGCAATGGGTATGGCAAAGGGAGCACAATAGTGACTTTCCTTACCAGAAAACAACTATTGCACTTAGGATCAGAAACTGCATGTGATTCAACTCCTTTTATGAAGGGGAAACCAATTCTAGTGGGCCTTATAAGAAACACATTCTGCTTTTGAGAAAGGAGCACTCTTCTATTCCGCTGTGTTTCCTGTAGAGCCAGAACAATGAGCTTGCTCAGAACAAAAGAACTGTCCTTCCTACACAAACTGGACATACATGGTTCAACTCTGCTTACCAAACTGAGGAGAACAGGAGCTTCTCTTCCATTCAAGACACTGAACTTCTGGAAACAGACGCGCCTGCTATTTGCACTGTGTATGAAAATGGGAGCACAATAGTGACTTTCCTTACCAGAAAACAACTCTTGCTCATAGAACCAGAAACTGCCTGTGATTCAACTCTGGTTATGAAGGGGAAAACAACACTAGTTTTTCATACAAGAAACACACTCTGCTTTTGAGAAAGGAGCACTCTTCTACTCTACTGTGTTTCCTGTACACCCAGAATAGTAAGCTTGCTCAGAAGCAAAGAACTGTGCTTCCTACAACATGGGCTATATCTAGTTCAACTCTGCTTAGGAAACTGACAAGAACAGTAGCTTCTCTCCCATCCTATACTCTGTAATTGCTGGGAACAGACATGAGAGTTATATCTGCTGTGTATACCAATGGGAGCGCCATAGTGACTTTCCTTACCAGAAAACAAATCTTGCTCTTAGGACCAGAAATTGCATGTGATACAACTCCGTTTATGAAGGGGACACCAACACTAGTTCGCCTTTCAAGAAACACTCTGCTTTTGAGAATGGAGCACTCTTCTACTCTACTGAGGTTTCAATAGATCCAGAACAGTGAGCTTGCTCAGAAAAAAAGAACTGGGCTTAATACTAACATGGGCCATATCTAGTTCAACTCTGTTTAGCAACTTGAGAAGAATAGTAGCTTATTTTATGTCCAATACACTGCATTTGATGGGACCAGACGCTTGTGCTATTTGCACCCTGTATGGCAATGGTATAGCACAATAGAGACTTTCCTTACCTGAAAAAAACCCTTACTCATAGGACAAGAAACTGCATGTGATTGAACTGTGATTATGAAGGGAAAACCAAAACTAGCTCCCCGTAAGGAAAAAGACTTTGCTTTTGAGAAAGGAGCACTCTTTTACTCTATGGTGTTTCCTATACCCCAGAACTGTGAGCTTGCTCAGAACAAAAGAACTGTGCTTCCTACACACAGGGGCCATATAAAATTCAACTCTGCTTTGGAAGCTGACAAGAAAAGTTGCTTCTCTTCCGTCCAATACACTGTAGTTCCTAGGAACAGAAGTGAGTGGTATTTGCGGAGTGTATGGCAATGGGAGCCCAGTAGTGGCTTTACTTACCAGAAAACAACTCTTACTCTTAGTATCAAAAACTGCATGTGGCCGGGCGGTGGTGGCGCACGTCTTTAGCCCAGCACTCGGGAGGCAGAGCCAGGCGGATCCCTGTGAGTTCGAGGCCAGCCTGGACTATCAAGTGAGTTCCAAGAGAGGAGCAAAGCTAAACAGAAAAACCCTGTCTCGAAAAACCAAAAAAAAAAAAAAAACTGCATGTGATTCAACTATGTTTATGATGGGGAAACCAACACTAGCTCACCTTACAAGAAACACACAATGCTTTTGATAAAGGATCAGTCTTCTACTCTACTGTGTTTCCTATAGAGCCAGAACAGTGAGCTTGCTCAGAACAAAAGAACTGTGCTTCCTACACAAACGGGCTATATCCAGTTCAACTCTGCTTAGGAAACTGACAAGAAGAGTTTCTTTTCTTCTGTCCAATACACGGAACTTGCTGGGAACAGACACGAGTGCTATTTGCGCTGTGTGGCAATGGGATCGCAATAGTGACTTTCCTAACCAGAAAACAACTTTTGCTTGTAGTCCCAGAAACTGCATGTGATTCAACTCCGTTAATGAAGGGGAAACCAACACTAGCTTGCCTTACAAGAAACACACTCTGCTTTTGAGAAAGGAACATTCTTCTACTCTACTGTATTTCCTATACAGCCAGAACCGTGAGGTTGCTCAGAGAAACGAACTGTGTTTCCTACACACGGACCATATCTAGTTGGACTCTGCTTAGCAAACTGAGAACAATAGCTTCTCTTCCATCCAGTACACTACACTTGCTGGGAACAGATGCGAGTGCTATATGCAGTGTGTGACAATAGGAGAATAATAGTACCTTTCCTGAGCAGAAAAAAACTCTTGCTCTTAGGACCAGAATTGGCATGTGATTCAACTCAGTTTATGAAGGCGAAACCAACAATAGCTCACCTCACAAGAAATACACTCTGCTTTTGAGAAAGTATCACTCATCTGCTCTACTGTGTTTCCTATAGAGCCAGAACAATGAGATTGCTTAGAACAAAACAACTTTGCTTCCTACACACACGAGCCATATCTAGTCCTACTCTGCTTTGGAAACTGAGAAGAACAGTAGCTTCTCTCTTCCAAAACACTGCACATGCTGGGAAACCTCACGAGTGCTATTTGCCCTGAGTATGGCAATTGGAGAGTAATAGCTACTTTCCTTACCAGAAAACAACTCTTTCTCATAGAACCAGAAAATGCATGTGATTCAACTCCATTTTTGAAGGGGACACCAACACTAGCTTGCCTTACAAGAAACACACTCTGGTTTTGAGATAGGAGCACACTTATACTCTACTGTGTTTACTATACAGCCAGAACAGTGAGCTTGCTCAGAACAAAAGAACTGTTCTGCCTACACACACAGGCCATATCTAGTTCAACTCCATTTTGGAAACAGACAAAAACAGTAGCTTCTCTTTCATTCAATAAACTGCACTTGCTGGGAACAGACAGACTGTTATTAGCACTGAGAATGGAAATGGGAGCGCAATAGTACCTTTTCTTAACAGAAAATAACTCTTGCTCTTAGGACCAGAAACTGCATGTGATTCAACACCTTTTATGAAGGGGAAATGAACACTAGCTCGACTTAGATGTAACACACACTGCTTTTGAGAAAGGAGCACTTGGACGGGTGGTGGTGGCATACGCCTCTAATCCCAGCACTCGGGAGGCACAGCCAGACAGATCTCTGTGAGTTTGAGGCCAGCCTGGTCTCCAAAGCGAGTTCCAGGAAAGGCACAAAGCTACACAGAGAAACCCTGTCTCGACAAACCAAAAGAAAAAAAAAAGTGAAAGGAGCACTCTTCAACTCCACTGTGGTTCCTATACAACCAGAACAGTGAGCCTGCTCAGAAGAAAAGAAGTGTGCTTCCTACACACACGGGATATATCAATTTCACTCTACTTAGGAAACTGACAAAAAAGGTAGCTTCGGATCCGTCCAATATGCTGCTCTTGCTGTGAACAGACACAACGGCTATTTGCCCTGGGTATGGCAATGGAGCCCTAGAGTGACATTCCTTACTGGAAAAGAAATGTTGTTCGAGGGACCAGAAACTCCAAGTGATTCAACTCTGTTTATGAAGGGGAATTCTACTCTATCTCGCCTTACAAGAAACACACTCTGCTTTTGAGAAAGGAACACTCTTCTACTCTACTGTGTTTCCTATAGAGCCAGAATAGTGAGCTTGCTCATAAAAATGAACTGTGCTTCCTACACACACGAGCCATATCTAGTTCAACTCTGCTAGGGAAAATGACAAGAACAGTAGATTCTCTTGTTGGGAACAGACATGATTCCTATTTGCACTGTGTATGGCAGTGGGAGCCCATTAGTAACTTTCCTTACCAGAAAACATCTCTTGCTCGTAGGACCAGAAACTGCATGTAATTCAACTCTGTATCTGAAGGAGAAACAAACACTAGCTACCCTTACTAGAAACACACTCTGCTTTTAACAAAGGAGCACTCTTCTACTCTACTGTGTTTCCTATACAGTCAGATCAGTGAGCTTCCTCAGAACAAAGAACTGTGCTTCCTACACACATGGGCCATATCTAGTTCAACTCTGCTTAGGAAACTGACAAGGAGAGTAGCTTCTCTTCCATCCAATACACTGTACTTCTGAGGAATACACACGAGAACCACTTGCACTGTACATGTCAATGAGAGCTCAATAGTATCTTTCCTTACCAGAAAACAATTTTTGCATATAGTACCAGAAACTGCATATGATTCAACTCCATTAATAAAAGGGAAATCAACACGAGTTCACCTTACAAGAAGCACACTCTGCTTTAGAGAAAGGTGCACACTTCCTCTCCACTGTGTTTCTTATTGGGTCAGAACTGTGAGCTTGCTCAGAACAAAAGAACTGTGCTCCCTACACTAACAGGAACATATCTAGTTCAATTCTGCTTAGAAAACTGACAAGAACAGTAGCTTCTCTTCAGTCCAGTGAACTGTACAGGTTGGGAACAGAAGTCAGTGCTATTTGCACTGCCTATGGCAATGGGAGCATAATAATGTCTTTCCTTATCAGAAAAAAACTCTTGCTCATATGACCAGAAACTGCATGTGATTCAACTCAGTTTATGAAGGGTAAACGAACACTAGCTCACCTTATAAGAAAAATACTTTGCTTTTGAGAAAGGAGCACTCTTCTACTCTACTGTGTTTCCTACAGGGTCAGAATAGTGAGCAGGCTCAGAACAAAAGAACTGTGCTTTCTTCACACGTGTCCCATATCAAGTTTAACTCTGCTTAGAAACTGAGAAGAACAGTAGCATCTCTTCCGTCCAAAAACTGCACTTGCTGGAAACAGACACATGTACTATTTGCACTGAGTATGGCAATGGGAGCACAATAGAGACTTTTCTTTACCAGAAAACATCTCTTGCTGTTAGGACCAGAAACTGGATGTGAATCAACACCATTAATGAAGGGTAAAAATACAGTTGCTTGCCTTAAATGAAACACACCCTGGTTTTCAGTAGTACCACTCTTCTATGATACTGTGTTTCCTATAGAGCCAGAACAGCGAGCTTGTTCAGAACAATAAAACTGTGCTTCCTACACACAAAGGCCATATCTAGTTCAACTCTGTTTAAGAAACTGACAGGGAACAGTAGTTTCTCTTGCTGGGAACAGAAGCAACTGTTTATTGCGCTGTGTGTGGCAATGGGAGCTCAATAGTGACTTTCCTAATAGAAAACAACTCTTGCTCTTAGGCCCAGAAACTGCATGTGATTCAACTCCTTTAATGAAAGGGAAACCAAAACTAGCTCGCCTTACAAGAAACACACTCTGCTTTTGAGAAAGGAACATTCTTCTACTCTACTGTGTTTCCTATACAGCCACAACAGTGAGCTTGCTTAGAACAAATGAACTGTGTTTCCTACACACGGACCATATCTAGTCGACCCTGCTTAGCAAACTGAGAGGAATAATAGCTTCTCTTCCATCCAGTACACTGCACTTGCTGGGAACAGACGCGAGTGCTATTTGCATTGTGTGACAATAGGAGAATAATAGTGCTTTTCCTGAGCAGAAAAAAACTCTTGCTCATAGGACCAGAAACGGCATGTGATTCAACTCACTTTATGAAGGCAAAACCTACACTAGCTCACCTCACAAGAAATACACTCTGCTTTTGAGAAAGTAGCACTCATCTACTCTGCTGTGTTTCCTATAGAACCAGAACAATGAGATTGCTTAGAACAAAAAAACTTTGCTTCCTACACAAACGAGCCATATCTAGTTCTACTCTGCTTTGGAAACTAAGAAGAACAGGACCTTCTCTTCCTTCCAATACACTGCACATGCTGGGAACACACAGGAATGCTACTTGCACTGAGTATGGCAATGGGAGAGTAATAGCGACTTTCTTTACCAGAAAACAACTCTTTCTCGTAGGACCAGAAAATGCATGTGATTCAACTCCATTTATGAAGGGGACACCAACACAAGCTTGCCTTACAAGAAACACACTCTGCTTTTGAGAAAGGAGCACACTTATACTCTACTGTGTTTTCTATAGGGCCAGAACAGTGAGCTCGCTCAAAACAAAAGAACTGTTCTTTCTAAACACACGGGTCACAACTAGTTCAACTCTGCTTAGGAAACTCACAAGAACAGTAGCTTCTCTTCTGTCCAATAACCTGTACTTGCTGGGAACAGATGCGAGAGCTATTTGCACTGTTTATGGCAATGAGAGCACAATAGTGACTTTCCTTACCAGAAAACATATCTTGCTCATTGGACCAGAAACTGCATGTGATTCAACTCCTTTTATGTAGAGGAAACCAACACTCGCTCGCCATAAAAGAAACACACTGTGCTTTTGAGAAAGGTGCTCTCTTCTATTCTACTTTATTTCCTATAGGACCAGAGGAGTAAGCTTGCTCAGAACAAAGGACTGTGCTTCCTACACTCATGGGCCATATCTAGTTCAACTCTGCTTAGGAAACTGACAAGAACAATAGCTTCTCTTCCGTCTAATACACTGTAATTTCTGGGAACAGACACGAGTGCTATTTGCACTGTGTATGGAAATGGGAGCACAATAGTGACTTTCTTTACCACAAAATATTTCTTGCTCTTTGAACCAGAAACTGCATGTGAATAAACTTCATTTATGAAGAAGAAACCAACA